GTGCTACCACACTCAACTTGGCTTGTATGTGTTTGGGAGAAGTTGGTAATTAATTGAGATTTTAAGAATGACACTATTATGGTCACATTGTATACTACCAGACAAAATCAAGACTGTCATGTCTATAGGAAGAATGACTAGTGGATTTACAAATTGCCTTTTATTAACTCAACAAGGATAATTTTATAATTCTTATATAAAACATGGGTTTATATGTAGGAAAAATACTCTAATACGACTCAAGAACCTCTCACTTTGGTTTTCTTTAGCTCCTTGGTGAGCTGGAAAAAGATCCCAAACTTGTTTATCACATTGGCCTTACTCCAGCGAAACTTCCAGACCTTGTGGAGAACAACCCTTTAGTCGCTATAGAGATGCTGCTGAAGCTAATGCAGTCGAGCCAGATCACGGAGTATTTTTCTGTCCTGGTCAACATGGATATGTCCTTACATTCAATGGAGGTCGTAAATCGGTAAGCTTTCATGTTCCAACAGAAGTACAGTTAATATTCAAACCCTGGTTAAATTATCTGGAAATTTGAAAGGCTGTAGCAGGTTTTTGTTTTGTTCTTTTCCCCTTTCTGATACCATTAGCTTACACTGAGTCTTAGTATTCACTACATGTGAATTTAGCCTCCATTTTTAAGAACTCAATTGTTAAATGTACTTCACTGTCTTTTGTGCCCTCTGCAATCTAGGTATTCTATTCCTTGGCAGCCAGTCTCGGCAGCATGCATGCGTGGGTCTTAGAATGGACTTCTAGGCATGCGGTCCTAAAGACTGCTAGTGTTCTCCCAGCTTTTGTTACTGTTGTTTTGTTTGTTTTTTAAGACAGACGCTCTCTGTATCCCAGACTATCCTCCCAGCTCTTGACTTTGCTCTTAGTGACCCTCAAGGGTGTGTTCTATGTAGGTTTCATCTTTTATTTTCTTTACAGATGTATTTTAAGGTAAATTGTGAATTAAATGTACTTAGGTGGGTGGGTATTATTTTTCTGAGGTAGTCTTTACTTTCTGCTTTTCTTTTGAAATAGGATCTAATAGTATCCTGGCTTCAAACTTAGTTCTGATTGCCTCATTCTCTGAACCTTGGATTATGGGTGTGAGCCAAAACACATTTTTTGAACATCTCTATATAAGTTGGCAACTATTTTAAACTTGAACTAAAGAATGTGTTATGTCAACTGGTGACAAAAGTTTGGCAGGTAGCTCGGTGCACAAGAAAGAGGCGGGAGAAGGAAGTGTGAGCTTTCTAATTACTTTGTAAGCATTGTGTCACTGTGGAGCTGGCTGGCTACTTGTTGAAAACATGCTGTTTGCATGTTCTCCTTGCTTGGACCTCCTTTATCATAGTCACAATTGCTGTTTTTGCATTGGCTAATTTGCCATTGGATGGAGCAATCTGAGTGTTCTTGGATTCTGCCTCACTGCATTCCTGCAGTAGTGTCTTTACCAACCAACTCCTAGTTCTGCTTGTTTCCTAGCACCCATCGTAATTTATCATTTGCAAGGATGAAGCAGCCTTGCTGCTGATACACAGATCTCAGAAGGCAGAGCGTGGGTGGCAGCTTTCTTAAAGTACTTCAGTGCCTTATCTTTTAAGGTCAAATCGCTGACAGTAGCCAGCCCTGGGTTGAACTTGACCTCAGTGTGGAATTTTTGGTTATTTTCCCCTAAGGCAGGGTTTCTCTGTATAGAACAACTGCTGTCCTGAAACTTGCTCTGTAGACCAGGCTGGCCTCAAACTCATAGAGATCTGCTTGCCTCTGCCTCCCAAATGTTGGAGTTAAAGGTGTGTACCACCACCACCTGGCTGACCCATTTCATATTTCATTTAATGTTTTGGAAAATACTCTCTTGGGTTTAAAAACTCTTTAAGCTTGTTACACAGTTGCTGAGTCTTCTTCAGGACTTTGTAATGGTCAGTTCTAAACCTGCGTGTCTTGTTCTCTGGAAGGCCTGTTTTGGTCTCTTGTCAGTTCAAGTAACTTTACCAGGTTCATACTACTTCTGCAAAGCTTCATTTTAATCTGATTATATGTTGTGCTGTTTGATCCACCTTCTTCTCAGACACACTGCCTCTCACAGTGCTTATACTTACAGGACTTTTCTACGTTTTAAATGATGGTAATAACTTTTGAGGTTGAGCTTGGAAGTGGGTAAGACCAAGACTGACAGTGATTCAGCCAGGAACACAGTATGACACTCATTGCTTAATGGGTAATTACAGAGTAAAATATGTAAACATAAACTTAACAGAGTGTCAGAGGTTTAAGTGGCTGTGGCAGGGCTCTTGGGTTTAAAACTAGAAAATTGGGTCACATAAATTCTCACTAGATGACCACAGGGAAATTTTGACTTCATGCTTACATTACTTCTTAATATTAGTAAATACAGTTAACAGCTCAAATTTTCTTTCATGAAACAGACTAACTACAGCTGTTGATCTACCTCCTGAATTTATTCACCTTTACATATCAAATTGCATCTCTACTTGTGAACAAATTAAGGATAAATATATGCAGGTGAGTAGTAGAAATGCTGTAATATTATCATCTGCCAGGAAAACAGGTTTCTAAAACTTACCTTTTTTTTTTTTTTTTCCAGAATCGTCTGGTGCGTCTTGTATGTGTGTTTCTCCAGTCGTTGATCCGTAACAAAATTATTAACGTGCAGGACTTGTTTATAGAGGTGCAGGCCTTCTGTATTGAATTTAGCAGGATACGGGAAGCTGCAGGCCTATTCCGGTTGCTGAAGACATTGGATACTGGGGAAACTCCTTCAGAGACCAAAATATCAAAATAATACCTCACCAGAACTTCCCCTTCTGTTGCTAAACTGTATTTGGATTGGTTTTTAAAACTGTTGAAACTCTTGAGTGGATTGCTTGCTTTATCTAAGAAATATAAATGACACTATTTACTTAAGCAAAATTTCCTTTTTCTTAGAGGAGTTTCCCATGGATGAATTTTGGTAAGAACTTGGGGAAATGTATTTTTTAACTCTCTTGCTGATGATAATCCATAGGAGAAATAATTATTCTAAAAAGTTATTGTAGGAAAGGAAGTGCAGGTGGTTTTTTTTAGTTTAAAACAAAGTACCCACTTTTTTCTAGAAGAGTAACCTAAAAGCCACGAATATTGTCCTTTGTAGCTTCTAGTACAAAACATGTTCAATGAGAGTAAGTGAAGACACTGAGAATTCATGGTCCAGTCTGTGCTGAGAGCAGCTGAGTGTAGTTATTAAGCAGGGTCTGAACCAAGGAGTTAACAATTCTTCTTCTTCTTTTTTTTTTTCAAGACAAAGTTTCTCTATGTAGCTTTGGCTGTCCTAGAATTTGACCAGGCTAGCCTCAAATTCAAGAAAGCCACCTGCCTCTGTAGTACTGGGATTAAAGGTGTACCACCACTGCCTGGTCAGCATACACTTCTTAGCAACAGTGTTTCTTGAGCCTCTAACAAAAATGGGCACTCTCATGCAAGGACCTTTTGCTAGGCTGTAATAGCTGGAACTTTATCAATGGTAGCCTAACATGGGCATGCTTTTTGTTTTATAGATAAGAACTGGTACACCAGAAGGGTGTACTCTAGATGCCTGTTTGGTGGGGAGGTAGAGTAAGGTCAGTGCTTAAGACAATGGTGCCCTAGACAGGGTCTGTCTATGTAGCCCTGACTCTCCTGGAGTTCTCGCTAGATGGACTAGGCTGGCCTAGAATTCAGAGATCCTCTTGCCTCTGCATGCTAAAGGTGTATGCCACCACATCCAGCTGTAATTATTATTTTTTAATATCTGACTTTGACATACCTTTTTATTTAGAGAATTATGATTTCTAGAATAGATTTATAGGGATAGAATCTGTTCTCCAACATTTGGCAAGAGTTTAAGGAAGCCGAAGCTTGGTGGTTTTGTTTTATTGTACAAATTAGTGTTCTGATAGTGGGGAAGGAACAGAACTCCGGATGTTTGATACATTCTTCTTAGGATTAGAGGAATGAGCCTTGAGCCCTTGTATCAGTGACCTACATCTGAACTGAACAGGTGACTTCTCTCAATGTCCCAAAGTGGCCACCACCATTTTGAAGATGGCATTGGGCAAAGAATAGCACACGACCAAACACTGTTTTTAAATGACAAGTTTCAAAGACTCACTGGGAAACAGCTTTATAGCCGATATGTATGTCTAACCTCTAGCCCAGGTTAGTTCTAGGGGTAGCCCAACGCAAAATTCAAACTTAAAATAATAGCATTTCAAGGAAGGTGTGTGTGTGTGTATTTTTAAAGCTTGATTATGTGGTTCTTGAGTGTGAGCAAGTGTCCTGTCAATATGACAAACTCATGGTTGCATGAGTTTAGGAAAATAACATTTAACCTGTAGCCAACAAGGACAGAACTGGGACCCATGAGTACATGCCTGAAACTTATTAACGTATAAGAGCTGTCACAGTCTTGTTAAGCTGACACCAGGAAAAGATACTTCACCATGCTCATTTTAATGTAACTTCCAAGACTAATGCAATGACCCCCACCCTGCTAAGGTACGAGTCTGGAAGGGACCCTTGCAATGAGAGCTGCAGCAAAAGACACAAGCAACTTAAAAATTTCTGCACATCAGAAGACAAGTTGTGTTGTGGCACACAGAGGAGAAATCAAGTGTCCATACTGACTTTGGAGTCCCAAATGAAATTCTCAAATACAGACCCTACAATGAGGAGGTCAAGATCACAATTGTGGGTTTCACCAGGAAAACAGACTATAAAGAGTAGCTGTGCTTGGTAAACATTAGAGGTACATAAAGTTGGTAGCACCACTAGATTACTCTAGGTTTAGCATGTTTACACTAGGTACACACCCTGGTTCAGCCCTATCGTCCCAGCTATCTGGGACTACTGACAGGATTGTGTAAACATGGAAAATTAAAGCCAGCCTGGACAAGTTATCTATCATCTCCAAAAAAGGAAGTAGAGTTATACTCTTAAGTGAGACTGAATAACCACAATCGACGTTTAAGTGTCATTAAATGAGTTTAATTTAACATAGGTTAAACTTCATGACATTTTTTTAGTTCAACTTAAATCTTCAAATCACCTGTCCAAAAAAAAGAACACTAATCAGTAACATTTTAATAGAAGTTTTTTAAAAACACATTTTGGAATCCCAAAATACAACCACTTAAATTATTCAACAGCATTTATTACCAATTTTATCAATTTTACAGAAACGAGATCACTAAGTTTATAGGACACATTCTCATTTATACCTAATTTTAAGTAGCACACTTTATATATTTTAGTTAACATTTCCATAGTAATTGTGGATCTCAGAATCTATGATCTACGGGGCAGTCTATACAATATTTCGAATAGGTCTTGTTAACCAGTATTTTATCTGAGAAATTAGTGATTAAGAAAACTGTCTACATTAGGAACATCCAAGACTTACAAAAGAACTGACACACAAACCTGAGATTCGGTTACTACAATGGGCCCACAGAAAATACTGTTTTTCTTAGACTTCTTATCAGCCCAGCACGTAACCTGCCATTTGTCATAGAGACTGACTGATCTCATATTTTCAGTGAATGGGCACAGATACTTCAACTCATGATTTTCTAGACTTTGATGAGAAAGAAGTCTCAGCAAAGTATGTGGCAGATACCGCTATAAAGAGTGATTCAGATACTGTTTCTGAAAATGAAATGCTGATGCTTCTAAGGGTTTAAAAGCAAGATTGAGCTGGAAAAAAAAAAGACATAGGTAGCTTTACTAATGTAGTATTGTGCCACAGAAACACATCACATTATACCACAAAGCTATCTCTGCTTCAGGTCAACACCTAGTGCTTAGGAAATGGCAAAGCAATGTTTTCCTGACCTTAAGAACTGCTTTTGTCTAAAACAATGTCCTCAAAGTTCCAGCTAATAATAGATACACACTGATTAAACCTCATCCTTCCTTGAGCAAATAATATCAACTTGCCTCAAGGAAACTGCTGCCCAATTTAGCTATCTTGCTTTGGAAGGGCTACTATTACTTTTACAATTCTAGCAGTCCTTGATTTGGTAAGTATATCTAAAGGAACACTGATTCTGCTTGATCAGGGTAGTTAGTCTGAGACACTGATTATTTTTCTTAGCGTGGGAAGGCTTTTCCTAGCCCCTCTTGGAAAGTTGACCATAGGCAGGAAGCTTCCACCCTGGCATTACTGAGGTCAGACAGTGATTCGCTTCAGGAGGTTTTGTCATCGTGTGCCCACATAGAGAGCAAACTGTTGATGGAGACACTGCAATTCGGCCTTTTATTGTCATCATTCCTCAGCAGCCATAGGAAGAATCATCTGGGAAGAAAGGTTCAAGACCCCAATCAATTCAGCATGTAAGAAACAATTACCTGCCAAGTGAGACCATGTGCTCACAAATCTGGTTTTCTGCTGAGAGAGCCAAAATATCAATCAATACTGCAGAGTGAAAAGCCAGGAGAGCAGGAACCACAGCAAACCACCGTCTGTATCATGGACACTGCCTCTTTCAACCACTGCCTCCAATCTTCAAAACACTATTCAGAGTCAGAAGTGGTCCACATGCTTGTAATCTCACCACTGGGAAGGCTGAGGCAGAAGGATGGTGAATTCAAATTCAAATTGCATTAAACAGTGAGATCCTGCCTTAAAAATTCTTCAGTAATCATAAATAATTAAAAACAATTTACCTTGCTCTATCACAATATCCTTTGTAAAAGCCAGCTTCATTTACTGTTGGAATGATGACATTCTCCCTGGTATGTCTCAAAAGACAGCACTAATCTACTTGGTAAAGAATTCCTATTTGCACTGACCACAGTGGTTCAGTAAGAACTTGTAAACCCAACTCTGAGACTCTTCACATAAGACAGATTTTCTACTTCAACAGCTCATGCTCATCTGGTTGTACATTCTTTCAGTAAAATCTACATTTTACTATGAGTAGCTAGAATCCAACTGTAGAAAAATAGCTTAGTAAGACACTTTCATGTCTTAGATACAGTTCTAAGGATAAATTTAGCCTTTAAAATTGTATTTACTCGGTGCCTTGGCAGAGCCTCTGCAATTCTCTGGAGACCTGGGACAGCCCTTGATGCTGATGCCTGTGAAGATGGAGGTGTATGGTGTCATGGTGCTGTCCTAGGGCCAGCTGTAGGACATGGTATCCATGCATTAACAGACACTTGTATGTGAAACTGTCAGTTATTACTACATACAAAAATCTCAAAGTTGTACTGGACTCATTTTTAAAATGATAGCAATTCCAGGGAACTAAGGAACTTTTCTGGAACAATTCCTATGTATTATGGAAGCAGTATGTATAATATTCCAATATACCTATGGCTGCTGGACCCATTTTGTTAAGCCCACTAGTTCAGTGACTACTGAAAGCATGTGGTTCAAAATGGGAAGATCTACCTTCCATACCTACAATGAATAGAAACACCCACAGTCAGCCTTCTGGAGCTTATTCAGGTTATGACTGTAATGTTTAGAGAAGGATCTTTTCAGTGTTCTCCATCCTACATTTCTACATCCTTTCCACTGTACCTAAAAACAGGACAATCAATGACCTATATGCCAGGCGTGCCAAGGGAATTTCTATACTCATTTGGATACCTCTCTCCCTAATCCCAGTGGTTCTGCCAGCTGTCCTTACCCACCCAGGTGGTCCATACTCTGCCACAAGTTCCCACTTTTCAGGCTCCTGTGGTCAGAGATGACACAACAGTAAGGACACTATCAGAGCATTTCTCAGCAGTCAGTGATAAACAGAGATGGCAGATGGAGGAAATGGATCACACCTAGGTAGGGTTCAATGCCTTGAAACAAACAAAGACCATAACAGATCACTGGAAACTAGAAGAAATGGTCACCTATTTTGATAAGAAGTAGCTGAAGTTGATCAAAGCAGAACTTGTGAAGAAAGATAAAGAATTAAGTTTTGTGCTGGAGAAAATGGAAAATAGATCTGAAAATGATACTGATGAAGTTATTCCTAAACCTGTATGCTGAAGAGATGCTGTGAGGATACTTATCTTTTCCCTAGCAGAAGCCTCGAGAGGATAGTGATAGATCTGGAAGTGTTCCTGACTCCTGTTTATCTCCTGTCCAAAAGTAGTTCCAGCTGAGGGCATTAATGCAAAAATCAAGAAAGACTGTGGATCAGTGACCTCCAGGGACTTGTGGTGTCAGCCAGAAACACTTCTTAAAACATTCTTTCCTTGGACTGGAGAGATGGTTCGGTGGTTGGAGAACCCAGGTTCAAGACCCAGTACCTACAAGGTACCAACCTTCTGTAACTCCAGTTCATCAGATCTGATGTCCTCTTCTGGCCTCTTTTGGAACTAGGCATGCAGATGGTACACAGACATATATACATACAGAAAAAGTACCCATACACACAAATGAACTTTAAAAAAGCACTCTCAGTTTATCACTGAAGTGTAAAATATTTTGAATCAAGAATGTATTTTTCTCTGTCCTTTGGGCAAAGACTGGCTTTTAATAGACTTTATCCTCTGTAAACTTTTTGTGCTGAAAGTTGGGACTGACTATGCTAAATAATATCTGTTACATAAAATATTTGTCAATAAACATTTTTGTCTACAAAGTAGACATGCAACACAAGTTTAGGATCAACAAAGGACTCCTCACTTTAAAAAGATGTATTTGACCAATTTAGAACTTGGGCAACGACCTTAATTGGCTTTACCTGTAGGAACACCAAGCAGAGAAAAGACAGATAAAAGGTCACAGAGAAAGTGAACTATATTAAAATCTCATTAGAAAAATGTTAGTCTAACAACAAAAATCAAAATTTTAATTTAAATATTTTTAATTTTAAAGATTAGATCCACTGAAATATAATTTAAAAACATCACAGTATGCCTAACTTGATTTTCTCAATGAATCAATATTTTAATACTTTTAATGTGCAATATGGATGGCATTCCTGCCATTTTTTTGGTAGAGAAACATAGATAAATGTCCTTCTCCTTCCAAGTGTCAAAAAAAAAAAAGGCAATAAAGGTAAAAATGCAAATCATAAAATCAACTAGTGTTCTTTTCACAATTCCAAACAATAAAAAGGTACGCTTGGTTTTGAAGTCTCTACGGACAATATAGTGCAAGATAGTAGATTTCTCTCTTCCCTCAGTTCCTTCTTTTTGGCTTGAACTCAAAATTCTCTTGCCTCAGCCTCCTGAGTGCTGGGTTTACAGCTGGACACACTGCCTACGGCAAGATTTCTCATTCTACAAGTTCTAAAGAGTCTCTGCTTGGGGAAAAGTTCATTTGATCAATTACTGAATTATATTACGCAATTCTACTTTAACTTTTGTCTAAAAGCCTGAGAAACAGAATCTTGGTTTACAGTACCACAGAAGCTAGTCTATTACTCAGAAACACCCCCTCCCATCTGTGACAGTCTGACACAACAAAATTTATGATACACATCATACTTTAGTAGATAAATAGATCAAGGCTAATTAAAAGTCCTTTTAGGAATAAAATATCTCAGCCCTTTGTATATCAAATCTGAATCTGAAAGGTAAAGTAAAATAATATCCACTGTTTTCAAGTATACAAACTATGCCCTAGAGTAAAAAATTAAATGTCCTGTAGTTCAAGCCAAGGCTCTGTCGGTGAGGCTGTCAGTGAGGATGTGTGCTAGCAGATGGATCCTCCATGTTGAGGGTCATTCCTGCCGGCTCCTACAACAAAGCATCAGAAGCCATCCTAGGTCAGTAGGTCTGTCCAACCTCAGTTACACATTGGAGAAACAAATTATAGAAACATTTAAATAAAACTTACATCTAAAAATGACAACCCATGTCAAAGAATGCCAGTAAGAGAAATACAGAAATACCCCTTCTTTTAGTGTGACAGGCTTTCCAGTGTTACCCGAGCCGCCAACATTCTCCCAGTGACTGCCTTTGAAGGACCTCTGTGTTTACACATCTCACAAGTGAGGTCATGCTCTTGAGAAAAAAAAAATTATTTTTTTTCTGGACTCTGATCTCAGTGGCCCAAATCATAGTATGAACTTTGTCTCAACAGGATTCCTAAAAGCAAAATTCCTTACTATACTGAATATACTGCCCTGTAATGTCAGTTCAGTGTTAACCAGAGATATGGTGAGATCAAGGCCCAGCTTTACAATCCTGTGAAACCCATTCCCTAGTGCTCCCCACTCTGATGTATTCCTTTTCCTTTTTCCTCTAGTATTGGTTTAAATTTAAAATTTATAGGAGTTTGGAAGATGGGTCAGCTCATAAGTGCTTACTACCTCAGCCCAACCCCCAGAACACTCATAAAAAAGATGGGCATGGTAATGTGTGCTTGCAATCCCAGGGCTAGAAAAAGTGGACAGGGATGATGGATCCCGTGGCTCCCCAGTCAGCGTAGCTTACGAGGGAAGTCCCAGGTCAGTGGGACACTTTGCCTCAAAAAATAAAGTAGATGATGCCTTGACGGTGACTTCTGGGCTTACACACGTGTGCACAAATGCACTTACACCCGCATATACATGTGCAGTCTACCTCCCAATACACACATATGTGCACAATACAAACTGAAGTTCTAAAATTTCTATAAGTTTTCCTAAACATAGTAAAAGACACACTGATTCAATTTGAATCTTACTGTTTTGGAAATCTTTTAGGATGGCCAAATCCAAAATCAGAAGCATCAATTATTCTCAATAAAAATAATCTATAGATTAATTTAATTCTACTAAAATATTGGTGGGATTTTCTTTTAACAGACAATATAAAAAATTTATTTTATATGCATGGGTATTTTGCCTGTATGTATGTGCGCACGTATGTACAACATGCATGTCTGGTGCCTGCAGAGGCCAAAGAAGGTACAGAATTTTCAGGAACTGGAGTTACAGATGGTTTTGAGTTATCATGTGAGTGCTGATAATGGATCTCAGGGTCTGAAGAGCAGCCAGTGCTCTTAACCATGAGTCATCTCTATAAGAGCCCCCTCTTTTGTTTGGGGTGGGGGGTCTTACAATGCAGTCCTAGCTGGCCTGAAACTCCGTATATAGACCAGGCTGGCCTCACACTCACAAAGATCCATATGCCTCTGCCTCTCAAGTGCTGGAATTAAAGATATCAAACCAGGCTCAAAATAATTTCACAATTAGTCTTTAAAGAATGCAGAAGAGGGTCAGTAAGATGGCTCAGAGGGTAAAGGTACTTGTTGCCAAGCCTGACAATCAGAGTTTGATCCCTGGGACCCATGGTAGAAAAATAGAACCGACTACCATTTGCATGATGGTACCCCAACAAATTAATGAATAAACTAATTAAAAGGGGGTAGAAATGGGGACAGAGCTCAGTTGGTAGAGTGCTCGCTTAGCATGCATATAACCCTGGGTTTGATTCCAAGCACTGCACAAAACCATGGTGGTAATGCATGCCTATAATCTCAGCAGTTGGGAGGTGTGGTCAGATAATCAGAAATTCAAAGTCACCCTCAGCTACCTATGGAGTTTGAGGATAGGGTGGTCTACATAAGACCGGCTGTTTGAAAAATGAATTTGGAAAAAAAGGAAAAAAAACCCACAAATATTAGAAAACACAGGTCAGTAATTCTATAACCAACACCAAGAAAAAAAAGAGTTTCCTATTTAGCATGGCCTAAAAAGTCTAAGGAGACCCAAGAAGATAGAAAAATTATAAAGAAACTAAAAGATACAGAAATTAGACACTGGAAGATGGCTGAATGCCAGAGTTTTCCGTCCTTAGCGCTTAGAAGAAATAAAGAAACAGAGGGAGAAGATACAAAATACATGACAAAGGTCTTATACTTCAATATTAAATTTTAAAAAGTTCTAAGAAGGAGCTAAGAACATATAGCTCATACAGCCCTTGTTAGGCAAGCCCAAAGTCACAGGTGATTGACATCACTGCAATACAAAAAAAGCTTATTTTCTAAATAGTCTATGGTGGTTTGAACAAGAATGTGCATAGGCTCATATATTTGAACACCTGGTACCCAGCTGGTGGATCTGTCTACCTGGGAAACATCAGTGGTACAGTCTTATTAGAGGTGTGTCTCTGGGGATGGGGTTTTGAGATTTCAAAATCCCATTCTTTTTCTCTCTCTGCCTTGAACTGTGGATGAGATGTGAGCTCTCAGCGCCTGCTCCAGTGCAAGCCTGCCTGCTGTCATGCTCCCTACCTATCATAACCTTCTAACCTATCTAACCTTCAGGAAGAGTGAGCCCCAGTAAGGGTTTTCTTTCAAGTTGCCTTGGTCATGATGTTCAGTCACAGCATTAGAAAAGTAACTAAGACAAAGCTTGAACTAAGAATTATTTGGTTTGAGAAGAAGAGGCAAGACTATGAGCTATTATGCTATACTACATAATACAATGAGACTACAGAAAACCAAAAAAACACAAAATAAAGTAGCAATGAATTGAGCAACTCAGAAAAAAATTTAAAAACTTAAATACAACATGGTCATAAAAATTTATCTACCAATGACATAGAAAAGAACAGTTTTCTGAACATTTACATGATGACATTTACATGATATTCCACCATTCTTGAGAAATATATGTTCTTGAGAAAGTATTTATCAAAAGGTTAAAACGGTATCTCTAAGTGTGAGACCATATGCTTTTATATTTTTTCTTCCCATTTCACCCCATCACTGACAACACCACGGCTTCACAGCTGCAGCCGCATACCTAGTAATGCTGTGTCTTCCCCTGCATCTTCTTTAAAACAGGGGCGGTGTGGTGCAGAGTCACTGGAGGACGATGACGGAAGGTTGCTTTCTCCACTCCTGTCCTCATCTTGGGATGTCACACTGAGATTCCCAACAGAAACACTTCCTGGGGCAGCTTCTGGAATGGGCTCCTGTGCATCCTCAGGGTCCCCCTTGAAAGGCAGACAAAGGGCAACGGTTTTCTCAGTGACATGAGCACAGTGTGGGGTCAGTTCCTTGTAAGTTAACACAAGACATCTGACTTTCTACAGGTAATCTGGTGGGAAGCACACCACCTCTTCTATCCAATGTCATGATAAAAGGGGTTAATTCTCAAGACCTAAAAGTTTGGTTTGGTTTAGTCTAAACAGTTTCCCAGTCTCATGAAAGCTGCATCTGACCTTTTAAACTATTTAGTCACCAAGTGGCTCTTTCCAACTGTCTTTCTGCAGAGTCTGTGAACTTGTGCAACCTCACTGATGTTCCCTTAAGAGGCAGCCAGGTGCCCTAACAACAGCCCCAGACAATTTTACAGTCAGCACTGGGGTATCAGAGATAAACAGGCTCTAAACAGCTAAAGGCTTTAGATTTTTTTTGTCTTTTTCCTTATATATAGTGCCCTCCCTCTTCTATTTGATGCCTTGAAGGAAGATAATGAAAGGAAGGTCAGAGACTCCTTTAGCACAACTATATAAAGCCTCAACATCAGTGGGTGGGTGTTCCAAGACATTCTTTTTGATTAATCAAAGAACTAAAGCTGCACGTAGGAAGATGAAACTGTTGAAAAATGACTAATGGTTGGTAGTTGTAAGCATGGTAGGCACAGGCACAGGCACTCAACTTCCTTGGGTTCTCAAGACGCCCTTGGTCTGCTCTATGACCTTTTTAAAATCACCCCTTCCTCCCTCACTGGTAACTAGACATCCTAAACACTCAAAACTGTTTTTCCCTGACACCAACTCCTAACACATCAAGCAAACATTCCTGTTGTAATGTCACAATGCCAACTCCTGTTCAGCCCCATCCCAGCCTGTTTCTCTAAACACCTGCCAAACCCAATTACCTGCTAACCTTTAACCTGACAGTTCATATCCTTGTGTACACACCATTTATCTATTACACACTGAGTCAAAGCCCTCATCAGTCCCACTAAAATATACTCTCTCCATCTTTCCATGTCTAACAGGCAGTAAAAGATCTTTCTTTTCTGATCCAGATGGCATTTACTATGTTCCCTTGTTATGCTGTATCTCTGGATATGTACTGGTTCCATTTGGCCTAAAAGAAAAATCCCCAAGAGTCCTTATCTAGCAAAGGAGCTATACCTTCCTTATCTCTGAGCCAAGCTCAGTGTAACATCTTAGATAGTATCCCTCTGATCAGTGTCTTCACAATGAATGCAGTGGACACAGCTGCAAACCAAAGGACTGCCTTTAAAGTCTGCGAAAAGGGTCACTGGTAACTCTTGAGTACTTATAAGGGAAGAGGGACCTCTTAAAATTGAAACATTAAAAGACACATAAATTCTTAGCTTTGAAGTTACAATAACTCTCTGTCCTTTACAAAGTAAGTTATATACTCTGGTTCTCTATATTCTAGCTTAGCACAAGCTTAGGAGTGGACCTAAGGAAGGGAGTTCAAGACTTTTTCAAGAAAACATTTCATCAAATTCTATGTTTTTTTTTTTTCATTTAATATTCTGAACCATTCAGCTTCTTGCTAAACTGTGGTTTCTACAGTAGAGGGCATGAACCAAGCGCATCAGGGAGATATGCTATCCCAGGCTAAAGGAACTGAAGGAAGTTTAGGTATTCTGTAAGAAAGACATTTCAGGACAAAGCAGGATGGCGTTGTGGTACAGTAGTTCTTCGGTGCCAACCTTTCCTCCCTGAAGGGCTACTGTAAGGGAATTATGAACCACCATGTGAAACATTCTACAGGGCATGTCAGCAGCAAGAGGACACACCAAGCTAGAGGATGATGTCACACCTGTAGCCTATGAAGACAGTCTTGTTCCAAGGGAAGTTCATTAGTGACACCATTATAGATGCTTACATGGCTATTATGGCTTAAAGTTGCATAAAATGTTCATCCACTTTATGTGCTGTGGGGAACTGAATCTGAGGCTTCAATGCAAGATATGCAAGCTACATTCCCAGTCACTTCAAATATTTTTATCTAAAATACTTTATTATTAATCAATAGTATTTTGAGCAATAATAGATCATATGGGTATCTAAAAAACAAACAACAACAAAACAAAAAAACTTAAAGAAGACCTCTCTCCATATCTTCTCTACATAGGAAAAAAAATAACATGTTTAAAGCCAATTCCTTAACAATTAGCTATAAGTTTTAAATTAACAGAGTAGGGACAATAAGAGTGCTTCATATAGAGGCCGTGAAGATGAAATGTAGCTAGCTATTGTTACAGTCTCTTTCATTTTACTCTTACATCCCCTAAGAAAGGTCCTTGTCCATCAAACTATCACAGAATAATGGGCAAAATACAAGACAAATTTAGCCCGTATTAATGAGCTGTGAAACCCAGCAACAGTGAACACAGATGTCAAAAACTGTAGAGTGTAGTATGTGTAAAATGTGTCTCTGAAGTCAGAAAATGTACAATGCCCTTCTGTTTCATACATTCTATGATTCAGGTTTACATAAACCAAACACACACACACATACACACACCCCACCATAATACACAGAACTACACCGCTCTAAGTAGTTAAAAACTGGGCAATATGCTAGCATAATTTTTATGTCATAAATCAGTTCACTGACTTTTGTGGACTACTTTACAAATTCATTTTTAATACAGAAAACTTTAGATAACAGCAAGAATACTAGAAGGAGCATTGTGTCTGTTCCTCTTGCCTCTAGTTAGTGATAAAAGTGAGATATTCAGAAAGAACTGGGGCAGAGATTGAATATAAACAAAAACGTAACAAACCCAGTATCCCAGGGCTTTGATGACATCAAGTTTACACATTGGACACGTTCGGTGATCCAAAAGCCATGGGTCAATGCATATTCTATGAAAAATATGCCTAAAAAAATTAAGTATGTATTAATGTCTTAAAATAAATGTTTCCATCTCTTATAAAGGAAATAATGCATTTTACCAACACATCCGTCCATTAGAGTTAACCAACAGTACATCAACAATGTAGTCTAGTCACATATCTATTTTCTTTTCTACTTTCCATTTAAACAGATTTTGGAATTAATAGTGAAATGTTTTTTTTAAAAAGTGAAAGCTTCTCTTCATTCCACAAAAAAAGAATGGATCAACTTCTACCACATATTAGGCACATCTTTTGTGCACATTATATTTTTTTGAGATATGATCTTGCTATACACTCAAGTTAGCCTAGAATGTGCTATGTAGTCCAAGATTATCTTTATATTTAGAATCCTCATACTTCTACCTGCCAAATACTAGAATTATAGTTATGTGCTACAATGTCCAACCATTTTTATGTGCCTTAGTAGAATACTTATAAACCACTTAGGCTAGTAAAGCCCATAAATAAGTTATTGCTAATAAACTAGTCCTAAACTGGTCATGTCTTCTTTAAGTCTATAAATGACTCAAGTGAAAACACATGACAATACTTGTGAGTGGCAGGAAGAAGCTATTTCCTCTTACGTACTTTTATGAATCCTTCTTTAATAAACATCTATTGCTACCAGTAGCACACATACATGTTCCATTCTTGTTGGTTTATCTTGGTTTCCTGCCCCTCCCATGTTATGAATGAAGTTAAGTAGAGGCTTTGAAGCAGGACAGATTAGGCTCAAGCACCAGTTGACTAGACCACAGGACCACAAGAAGCTATGTATCGCCTAATTTCTACACCTACACCATGAGCTTTTCACAGTGTCTACAAGTGTATACCCAGTAACTGCTCACTTTTATTACTTTTTATTTTAGAGACAGGGCTTCTCTGTGTAGTCCTGGGTGTCCTGGGAACTTGCTTTGTAGACCAGGTTGGCCTCAAACTCACTGAGACCCACCTGCCTCTGCCTCCTGAACACTGGGATAAAAGGAGTGTACCACCACTGCCCTATTTGAAGACTTTCTTTAAACAAAAAGCTGCAGAGCCATTAATAGCAATTCTTAATTATGAAACAGTCTAGTCCAGCTTATCATTTAACCTCAAATCAATACTGACTGACCCAGAAGGTTTCCAAAAAACAAGAAACTTCCAGTTTTGCTGGGTGATGTTTAACTCTATGTTCAGTGCTTTTCTGCATACCACGACCAACACAGACTGGCCTCAATTCATTGAGTGGCTACTGTGCTGACCTTATGTAAATGCTGACAAATATTAGACACTTTTCTCAGGGAACAAACCCTTATTATTTTGATACTCATATGTTTTTTATTTCCTCAACAGAGGTATCAAGAAGGTAATCTTCTAAAACGTACCATATTAAGAGTAAAATATTTTTTTTTTAAAAAAAGCAAATACACTAACTTGAAACTTGATTCTAAAATATGTAAAGTATAACTGAAATTTATCAGACTTTTAAAAAATCTAATTTTTATACATACAACAAACTCTTCTGCTAATCAGCAGTTGTTTAAAAAAAGTAGATTATTAAAAATGAAATGGCTACTTCCCAGTGTTAAACTCCACCTGTGCTACTGAAACCTGAGAAAAGGGAGGAATGTATTTTAACACAGCTTCAAAAGGAACCCACACCCACGGCATAAATAATAGCCAACTACTGCCTGCTTTCAGATCATTGAAGGCCTTAGGTCCTTCATCCTTCTTGATTTCTTTCAGTAAAATATGTGTTCTGCTTCACTAGGTTTATAACAGAGTCTACACAAGTCCTGATAAAACTAAAAGCCAGTCTAAAACAAAGATATAATGGATCTTAGTGGTCACCTAGAAGTCTCTCAAGCAGAGAGACTTTAAGAAGTCTTGAAGACAATATGAAAGATAAGATAAATACGACCACAAGATCTTTCTATCAGAAAAAGTCTGGAACTCTTTTATCAAAAAATTGAAACTTGTTAAGTCATTTTTAGATTTTAGTAGGAGAAACTTATTCATACTTGCATGGCAGGATTCTGATAACATCCTTTACTTTAAAGTTTTCAATACACACTGCACAATTCTCGGCATCAACATCAATTCCCTGCAAAGAGAGTTAAGAGTTACACACACATATTACACATATAATAAGTTAGGGAAAAAAAAGAAAGCCGACTAAAACAATGTATTCTACTCTATGCTGGAACAATCTGATCCAAATCACAGATAATCACACTTGGTATTTACTTCTTACCACTATTAAGCAGTTATTTAAAGAATCTAAATAAAAAGGGAAAAAAATTCATTGCCTAATCAGGCATTAGCACTGTTTTAAATAGTATGTTGTGTTTGAAAAAAAATGGACTATTAAGGACTGTAGAAATACAAACCACATACTTTTTTTCTTTTTTTGAGACAAGGTCTCTTGTTTTCAGGCTGGCCTCAGGTTCACTGTATAGCCAATTATGACCTTGATTTTCTGATAGTCCTGCCTTCATCTTCCAAAAGTTTGGATTATAGCAGTGAACCACAAAGCAAAGTTTGTATGGGGCAGGAGATCAAACAGGACTTCATCAACGTCAGAAAACATTCTACAAAGTTAACTACATTCCAATCTTGCTGGCTATTATGGTTAAACAAAATATTTTCAAGTATAAAACTTGAATATTCAAAGAAAGAAGCTATTTGTCTTCTGGAATTATTTAAAAGAAATCTGTATCTCTCTTAAAGAACAGTTACAACTTGGAGAAAGTACAAATGGCTACATAACTGAAATTTTACTTCATTAGTGTTAACATCCACCCCTCCTGATTAGAATGAGTCGCCATTTTTGCCTAACAAATGAACAAAGGCATAAAAAAAAACAACAAAAAAAGAAAAACAAAAATTGCTGGCTGTAGGGTAGCAGAGTTGGCAGCATTCCTACAACTAAGAATCTAAAGGCCATAGACTTTCTGTGAGTTAGTAGGGGTCATTGTAGCCAGGACAAGCTAAGATTCTGACACAGGGATTCAGGAACACAAGCAGTGTGTACTTCTGAGGCCACAATGTTGGCAGCTTCACAGTACAGAATACAGCCACACTATCCTTGAGCTGTTATTTAACCATACCTTTAGCCAGGTGTAGCAATTAACCAAGAAGCAGTAAAAACCTTATTTAGTATGTACAGACCATTACCAAAGACTTAAAATTAACTTTAATAGCATTTTAAATTTTTATGTCATAATATTTTATGAAAGATTTTCTTACTATTTCTATATGTACTCTCTGAGTTTATGTACACGATGTACATACACAAAGCCTCAGAGGCCAGAAGCACTGGATTCCCTGAACTGCAGTTATAGGTAGTTATGAGCTGACATGGGTACTGAAAACTAAAGCCAGGTCCTCTGTAAAGCAGTTAGCGCCATCTCTCCAGACCCTAAAACTCTATGGTATAGTAAAATTCTACGAAAGTAACAAAATACTTTCACTTCTATTTCATGCTATGTAAGAAACTACTTCTAATTTCTTAATAATTTACAAGCTTCCACATCATCACAAGAAAAGAAAAAAAACTAAAAACACTTGTCTACAGAACTGGATAAGATGTAGACTGCAAAAATTTATTTTCCTGTGTAAGTTTAGATAGAATGTAGAAATACTTCCAAATCCAGGCACACACTTCACAGATCATTTAGAGATCTTTTAAAAATTTAGTTTGACAATTTTAAAACAGGTTCCTGGTATCATACTTTAATAAAATGTTGGGTATAGGAAGAGAAGAGTATCAATTTACTTGTATTCTCAAGGGCTTGGCTCAGAAAGTTAGACATATCAACCTGTCTTCTCACAAGTAAGCAATGAGATTTTTTGCTAAAGGAGGGAGGGGAACCCATGCAGCAGGTTCAGTAGAATTTTAAGTTTGTATAAAGTATTGATTTCCTCTCTGAAAATGAAATAAAGAATAATTCTTTTTTTTTTTTTTTTTTTTTGAAACAGGGTTCTCTGCACTAGCCCTAGCTGTCCTGGAACTTGCTCCTGTAGACCAGGCTGGCTGGAACTCACAGAGATCCACCTGCCTCTGCCTCCTGAGTGCTGGGATTAAAGTCATGTGCCACCACCGCCCGGGGAAGAATACATTTTTAGAAATCAATTCTCACAACCTAGATCAGCATCTAATTTATAAATCAGCAGAAGAATTTCCTATTTAACACCCATGAAAACTCTACACATACTCTGCCTGGCTAGTTACTAACTGGGAACTCTCCTGGTGATTTGCAATGTAAGGAATCAGTACTTTACAGCAACTATTAAAACTCCACTAACTATACTACAGTATAAAAGTTATTGGGGGAAAGAATGATCCATCCATACAATCCCAAGCATACCTTAATCCTAAATATGCCACAGAAGCCATTAATAACAGATTTCAATTTTTAACACACAAGTTTATAATTTAATGTCTTTTAAGAAAGTCTTGTAAGTAGGGCAGAGGAAGAGAAGGAAGTAGTTTCTTTTCTATTCTTCCTTCCACGAAGAGAAGGGAGGACTGGAAAGTGAAACAGGTTGAGTCTCAAAGCTTAATGAAATAAATGAATAGTATTGACTGGTTCAGCTCACAGCTACAGGGTGACATGTTGCTGCAGAGGATGGCCCACTAAAAGACTAAATATTATTACATTAACAAATTTCTTTCTAAAGGCTGTATGCCTGAGGAGTCAGTGCATCTGGAACAGTGACTTTACATCTCTGACTGAGCATGTCAATATGGTTCCCCTTTAAAAGTATAGTTTTAAAAATACCTTTTCTGTCCTTTACAAATGTTTAGTGTTCTCCCTGTAATTGGGGGGCTTTGAGGGAATGTACAAACAGTCTCAGATGCAACAGATGAATTTATAGTATTACAGGTGCATACTTTTAAATGCAAATCATCTTTATAGTCATTTACTTTGGCCTACCAAAATTTTCAATGACAGGAATATTGGCACATTATTGTCACTGGGTACATACAATGTAGGAACTATCTTTTAAATTAAACTTAATTCATTTAACCTTTTGGGGGGATGGGGTACTGGGGTCAATCCAGGACTTCATGCATACTAACTAAGTAAGGGCTTTACTACTGAGCCACAGACTGTAATTCATTTACATTTTAACAGCCAAGTGACTAATGACTGCTATAATGGCCTCTTCATTCATTGTATTTCTGTCAGCCTTTCTTTAAAATATTGAAACACAGGTATGAAGGCTTAGTAAAGTGTCACAGGCTTGTCACTGATGGAAGAGTAGACTGGAAAGAAAATATTTCTCAAACACATAAACATCCACCAGTCTGAACCCCAAACAAAGCACAATGAAAGTATTACCTTCTCTCCGTGCTTTACAGTGTGTAGTGGAAGCTGGCCAATAACTTTCTTAGTTTCCTTTCTATGATTCTTGGGGAGGAAAACAGTATTATTAAGTAGTCTTTTAAAATAACCCACATAATACAATGTAAACAAAACATAAGTTTTCATTAGTAAAAAAGTTAAATGACTACTATAAAATAAATTAGAAAAAACTTTTAATATATAAAAGAGACATATAACGTATAAGCTACTTGGTAAGAATTACTATTTTTCTTTTCTTTCTCCCTCCCCTTTTTGGAACTAATGCTTTACTCTAAAGCCCTACTTAGTCTTGAGCTCGACAACCTCCTGCCTCAGCTTCCCCAACACTAGGACGTGCGCTACTATGACCAGCTAAGTATGTATTCATTTACTTACTTGCTTATTTGCAATTAAGTCTACGGTCTCACACAAGCTGAACAAGTACCCAACCACAGAGTAGTTCAGGAATAGCTGCGTTTAATTTTATATCTGGAAAAGAACATTCCTTCTTTTCTTTTCTTTTGATGTTGGAGTAAAACTGGAAACTCCTAGCACTCTAAACATGTGCTGCCATTTAGCCATACTTTCACAACTTCCAGAAAAACAATTCCTACACTTAAACACTGGCATGAAACACGATGCCCAGGAAGAAGGCACCACCTCCTCTCCATCAACAGTCTCCAAGAGCCCTGCCAACTTATCAGGCCAGGAAGCCTATTGTGCATAGAACTGAGTGTGCTACTGGAAGCTCTGGCTTTTCTCTCTGCTAAAGAAAGGGTTTGCCTTCAGGTAAACGGTTTATCAGCTACTCTAGTGCAGAGAGAACTCCCCGTTGCTCCTCTGCTTTATGTCAAGCTAGAAAACAGAGTTACATATGTTCTTTCTGTCACATGCCCTTCTCCTAGTCCTCTCTGTCTACAAAAAGACAAAGAGGGTATGGCTACCTATAGGAACCAAATGTACAAAAAGTGACCTAGACTTAAAAACAAAAAAATTTATCAAAGTTATGAGTACTTAAATAAGTAAACTAAAAATAGTGCACTTAAGTGTAACTTCAAGTAGTATATAAAATATATTGATGAGCTATCATTTATAATGAACCAAACTGAATAAATTAAAATGAATAGTTATCCATAACTACCTGACTTCCAAACTGTGAGCCAGTATATAGGAAACGCTGTATATAATAGAATATTAGCCATGCTAATGAGATAATCATCATCGTGATGAAGGCAATGGCCACAAACACCACAGACTGACCACTGATGAATTCTTGCATATGACGGGTACCAATCCCTATGGTCATTTTTACTGGAATTCCTTTTTGCACCAGATCAAAAATTTCTCGTCCTTTTGGGTAGCTAATCATAATGACAACTGTATTTCCCGTTCCTGCACAGAACAAAGAGATGAACAAAGGCAAAAGTTAGATAAAAATTAAGAGTATGTTCATTACTACATTAAATACATTTGAAAACTTCAACAAGCTCGGCGGTGGTGGCACTCGCCTTTAATCCCAGTACTCAGGAGGCAGAGGCAAGCAGATCTCTGTGAGTTTGAGGCCAGTTCTAGGACAGCAAGGGCTGTTAACCCTATTTTGAAAAACCAAAAAAAGAAAAGAAAACTTCAACAAAAACGAGTAATTTTCAGAAAAACATCAACTGCCAAAATTGGTTCCTAAAGAGAAAACAGGCTGACTGAAGCCAGGACACCATTTAGACTTACAGGTGAATCATCAGACCTTTAAGAAGCACAAAATACTAATGGTATTATTTAAACTGTTTCATAGTTAATTAAAAGGACACTTACAATTTTCTCTAAGCCAGGCATGGTGGAGATAGCAGACTTCAGTTTAAAGATAAGACTGGACTACACAGTAAGTGAAGGTCAGCCTGGCTACATAGTGAGACCTCCATGCACCAACCCCCCTCTGACCTCCCAAAAAGACCTTCCCTGAGAGCTCGATGTAGCTCAATGGTAGAGTACTTGCATAGTATGTATAAGGTTCAGGGTTCAAATGTCAGAACTATAAAATGTCTATCTAGGATTATAAAACCCAAAATGGTAATAAAAGGCAAAAGAATCATGCAGATTAATTTCACTTATGAATATGAATGTAAACTGCTTCAAAAATGCCCATTAGAATTAGGGAATATGCCTACAGAGTGGGTTCCAGAACTGCCAAGGGCCATAAAGCGAAAGCCTGTCAAAAAAAAAGAAAGAAGAGAAAAGAAAAAAAAAGAAAAGAAAAGAAAAGAAAAAGGAAAAAAATTAGGGAATATGAGAACTCTATAGTGATCACTACCATTTTGTTTTTCTTGCCCTGAGACAGCATCTTATCTCATGATGTAGCTCTGGATGTCATAAAACTCATTACATAGACCAGGCTGGCCTAGAACTCACAGAGATCTACCTGCCTCTGTCTCTCCAGTGCTAGGTGTGCACCACCTTGCCAAGCTTGTGATCACTACTATTATTCCTTTGAAGACATGAAGCAGCCCTGAGAAAAAAGAGGGAGGGAGAGAATAAAAAGGGGTACAAATAAAGCTTCACTTTTATTACGACTAGGTATAAATCAATATAGCAATCACAGAGTATCAACAGATAAAAAATACTCCCTCTACATCACATAGGGAAACTTGTTAAACAATGAAAGCTGAACTACCTTTACAGTTAAAGTATGAAAACAGTGTGGTAGTAGCAGATAAAGGCATCCACAGAAATAAACCCAGGATAGCAAATGATAACAGAAATCAATTTAAGAGAAATGGCTTTAAAAAAAATAAAACACAGATAAAGGCAAATGGGTATGATATTGGGGGAAAATTAAATGTTTTTCTCACAATGCATGCCAAAATAAATTACTAAATCTAAGATGTTAAATGTGTAAAGAAAAAGAAACATACAAAATCCAGAAGAAGAGAATTAAAAATTCAATTAGAAAAATCCACCTAGAGGTTCTTTAAAAACAAAACAAAAGCATGATGGTGGCATGGGAGAGAAGAGAGAGAACTGACAATCGGAAAATAGAAACTGTTTTCAAAGTCAAGGTTAAAGTAATAAATGACCAATTAGGGAAAAACAGATATAATAAAGACAACAGCTAGTTTCTTATTTTAAAAAAAACAGCAGAAAATAAAAAAACTAATTTTCAGAAACATGTAAGTTTTAAAAATGGTTGCTTTACTGAGAAATAATTCAAGCACCACAGAAAAAAAATCTGCTTTAGAGCACAGTTTGGTGGCCTAAAGACTGGTAAGAAACGTGGAGGTGATAACGCACAACTTTCATCCCATTATTCAGAAGTCAAAGGCAGGCCAACCTGGTCTAGAGAGGGAGTTTCAAGATAGCCTGGGCCACTCAGAGAAACCGTCTCTAAAAACAAAACAAAAGACTGATAAGCATTACTATCTACTTCTATACCATCCCATCACCTTAAGAAGAAACCCTATGTCCATCCATTAGCAGTCATCTCCCAATAAATGAGTTTTAAATGTTTGAAAACATGTTTTCAGCTATCTGTAACATCAGCAAAAATGCAGGGAAGAGGGGACAGGGAAAGAGGGAGAGATACAATATGAATTACTCTTGTATGGGAGACCACTGTATTCAGAAACTTAGATGTATTCACATATAAACATGGCAGAATATTTGTAGAGATATTTTTATTCAGTGATTTAAAATTTAATTAAAGATGCTTACTTATGCTTACTTTATGCATATTAGCATTTTGTTTGCATGCATGTTTGTGAACCACATATGTACCTGGTGACTGTGGAGGCCCAAACAGGGTGTCAGATGCCCTGCAACTGGAGTTGAAGACAGCTGTGAGCTGCCATGTGGATGCTGAGAATTGAATCTGGGTCCTCTGGAAGAGCACCCAGTGCTCTGAACTACTAAGCCATTTCTAATTCCTTCAGTGAGTTAAAAAATAAAAATCTTTTAAAAGTCAAAAGTAAGGATTCTTACTGTCAAAATAAGACATCCTAATGATGTTCTGATAATTTCAGACTCCAGAACCACTAAATGAGATCGGCCCCATGTCAGTAAGACAGAATCCAAAATGAATGAACTCAGGTATTTCAGACTGTTCAGGAGGTGACTGGACATGCACAGGACAAACACAAAGGCAGTCTTTATATTTCTTTCTCTATTAGGGTATATGCTGCATGAAGGCACGAGGCTTTTTTCGAATGTTGAGTGTCTTTCTTTTTTAAGACAGTGTCTCATGGCAGGCCTTGAATTCCTCCTGCCTCTGCCTCCTGAGTGTTGGGATTAAATATGCATTACCATGCCTGGCAAAAATAAAACAAATTTCCGTTCAGAAAACTCATAAAGTTTCAAGGATAGAAACCAAAATAAGGTGACATTAATTGAAAACTGTAACTGTACTTAACACTCTCTTTGCTTTAAAAAAGTTTAGAGCTAGGGGAATGGCTTAGTAGTGAGTGCACACCTACCAGGCACGAAGCTGATTTCTATTTCCAGGACCATGGGAAAATAAGTTTAATAACCACTTATCAATACCAACAGTATGTTGAATTTTCTCCTTCAGATAGTTTTCAACCCAGTTGAAGTTAAACCAATCTAAGTGAAAAAGGATAAACAAGACTAGTGTTTAAGGGGTTGGGAAACTGCTTAATTATACAATATGTGCTTGGCATGGAAGAGGCAGAATTTAAACCCAACTACCCTCTCTAAAAATATGTTTATTGCATGCTATATGAACGCGACAAACTATTTAGCATGCTTGAGACCCCAGCTTCAGTCTCCAGTAACAATGAGAGGTGGGAAGCAGGCATGAAGAACTGGCTGCAAGACAGAGCTAAAGAGATACAGCAGGTCTTCAAGATGCTAGGTGCCTCCAGCTTTAGTCTAAAGAGCTCTGCCAAGTATGACTGTTAACTGTGCCCACACCTTAGGCTCCCTTACTGATTAGGTTGCAGGCAGCACCAGCACACTCAAGGCATACTGGTAGTGAAAAAAGAAATAAGAAGCCTAGGTTTGGGGATATCATAAACACCATTTACCTAGTAAACAATGATAGAAATTCTGGTGTGGGGTAAATGGCACAAAAATAAGCAATGAGACTCCCCAAACATCACTGCTGAGACCATTTGGAGGTACTATTTTCAAGTAGTACAAAAAAAGTCGTTTCTTCCAGAAGAGAACAAGTCTTGCAGGAATGCTTCTCAAAAAATCAGTTCTTTCTCTAGCTCTAGCCACAGTTTAACAGGTTTTAAACAACACACCTTGAGGGTTGGTTGAGATGACTTAGCAGAAAAGAGCACATATTGTTTTTGCAGTAATTTCAGTTACTGTAACTCCAGTTCAAGAGGATCTGATGTCCTCTGGCCCCTTTGGGCACTTGTTCACATATGGTGCACACAAACTCATAAAACTGCAAATACATACAAATAATAAATAATTATTTTTTAAAAAAATCACATTCTTTCCCTGAAGAAAAGCCAGGAGCCTACAGTCAGGTACCACAGAGAAATGTGACATCATTGATGGGCATTCATAATTGAGGACAGCTGTTTGGTTTCTAAGACCTAGCCACTTTGGCTACATGTCTTCTTTGGTGCTCTTGGTCCTTCTCCCCTTGGTCTCTTGGTCTCCTGGCTCGCTCTGGACCTCTTGGCTTCTGGTCCCTCTCTTGCCCTCCTGTCTTCTTCCTCTCTTGTTCTCCCCATTCTCTCCTCTCATAGCCCAGTTATCTCTGGCTGTGCTCTCTCTCATATCTACAATAAATCTCAACCATACCATGGGGCATCAAGCTCTCATTTTTGTTTGTTTGTTTTTATCAAGAGAGGGTTTCTCTGTAGCTTTCTGGAGCCTGTCCTGAACTAGCTCTTGCAGACCAGGCTGGCCTCGACCTCAGAGATCTGCCTGCCTCTGCCTTCTGAGTATTGGGATTAAAGGTGTGTGCTGCCACCACCGCCTGGCATGTTCTCATTTTTTTTTCATTCATCCGGTGAAAACAAGCATATACTATTTTATCTTGGTGATTTCCACTATGATCTTAGCCACAGGAATTTACTGAATTGCCAGAAGGGCACCCTTGTAAGGTGGCTTCTGTCTGCAAGATGATGCTGAAACCAGTTTGAGCCTAACTAAAGAAAACTATGGTTTCTTCAACATGTATAATAATGACCCTGCTGTCACTGAGAAGACATACTGAGAGGCAGGTATTGACTACCTTCAGGAAAATATCCAGCAATCCAGATACATGGATAGCAACAACTACAATACAGCTATAACCCACCTAACATTATGACAAGGTACAAGTTAAAGGCTTGTTTAATAAAAAAAAAAAAAAACCTTGCAGAACATTTCAAATAGAAACAATGGTATAATTCTGCCATCTTGGTTAAAAGCTTTCATACAGA